TGCTCAGGCAGGCTTGGATTATGTCAGGTATTGCCATCAGTCCTGAAGCGGCTTGATGACATTTTCTTGAGGCTTAATTAAACTAATGATAATCCAAATCAAGTTCACAATAAATCGTGTTCAGGAAGTATCTGTGCACTTTTGTGTTACAGACTTGTATGTGTGGAGTATGTCATGTGGCTACCTTTGGGTATGTACATTTTAGCCCATTGGTTACCCTCTAACTATTGGCAATGATTCCAGTGATCACATCAGTCTCAACCTTTGGTGTGTGTTAGAGGGTTCATTGATTGGCCTTAGATGGGATCCTTATTGTCTGAAATAAGACCTATGGTTCCTAGCAGAATTGGTCCCCAGTTGCCCGAGTCGGAGACCTGGTAGCATTTCAGGTCACTACTGTGGAATGGCGTCATTCTCCAGCTTGGATTCGTAGTGATAGTGTCATCAGTAATTGCTGCCGAAGATAAATTAAGTTTATTTTGTCCCAGCTTTTGTTGTTCAGTGACTGAAAAAGTGGTATATTTATGTGAAAATTCTCCATAAGGCAACATGATATGTGACATTCAACACAGAAATTGAGAACTTCTAAGTGGAAAGAATCCATTGATAAAAGATTGTGGATTTTGCTTATATGAAATGTCTAGAAAATGCAAAATCCATTTTACTTATGTGAAATGTCTATACAGAGACAGTAGATGTTTGGTTGCCTAGATATGAGAAGGAAATGGGTTTGAAAGCCACAGGCTGCATTTTAGATAATGAACAGGTTATAAAATTGTGATGATTTATACAAGTCTATGAATATACTAGTCAACATTGAACCGTATCAATTTAAATGTGCAAATTGTATGGTATGCAGATCGAATGCAATAAAGCTGTTCCAAGAAACAAGCAAAAGAGAAACTTATGATAGTGCCTACGTCATTTATAAGCATTACCAATTTAATGTGTAGCATACATCTAGAATATTAAGATTCACAAAGATTAACTATATTTTTACCACTAAATGTTGACATAAAAATAATCAAAGTGTGTGATGTGGACATAAGCAAATATATTACCCGACGGAACATAGACACTGACAGAGTTTTGTGTAAGAATTTACTGTTTAATAAAGGTGGAATTTCAAATGAATAGACCAATAACAATTTATCAATAGTGCAAATGTTTGCCTTTTTTTGGAAGAAAAAATATTGTATCCACTGTTCCATACCACATGACATAATACATTCAGTGAAGCTTAAAGATTTATGTGTCTTTAGATGTGTTAAATTTAAGAATAGTATAATGAAATCTGTATGTAGATAAGTTTTTAAGAATCTTTTTTAGGCAAAGTTAGAAACCCAGACATTTGTTTAAAAAAGACACAGTGTTTTGACTACATAAGAATCTAGTATTTTGTATAGCAATGTATGAAATATTGACATATCAAAAGTTATTTGAATAGATGCATAAAATATACTTGAAAGTGCACAGGAACAATTTTTGATAAAAGTTGTAGGTAAATGAGGATTGTAAAAGATCTTTATTGACTCCACTACAGCCACTCACTGAAATCCACAGTAAACAAGATAAACTGAGAAAGTTTAAAACCATTCCTGAGTAAGTGAGCAATGCGTGCTATCAGTACTATTCCACAACAGTGTTGGAAGACCTGGACTGTATGGTGCTATCATAAAAATTAGAGCAAGTTCTGATTTGAAGACGAAAAAATATATGCAGAAAATTTCATTACATTAAAAATGCAAGTCAATAGAGTTTAGCAAGTTGTCCAATATAAGTAAGGGAAAATAAAAGTGCTAAAGATGGGTTTGGCTGAATGGAGGAAATAGCCTATTTTATGAGTGTGAGGGCTTATGAATATGGGATAATCACTGTAAAGTTTCTAGGAGCAGGAAGCAAGTAGAAAAGCTTTTGATGAGCATCCCACCTCCAGCCTTGCCCCCTGAGCTGTGTTTGTACCTCCTTTCTCCCCATAGTCCTGCCCAAAGGACAAAGTTCTGAAGGAAATAACTCAATTTTATTGCATCATTTTCCACCAGTTCATCATTTTATTGTACTTAAATATACATAGTAAAATCTATAATGTTAAAAATGCTTAAGTGTACAGTTCTATTCACTTGGCATTAAGTACATTCACATTATTGTGCAGCCATCACCACCACCATTTCCAAAACATTTCATTTTTCTCAATTGAAATGGATCCCTTCTAAACAGTCAGTCCCCATTCCTCCCTTTTTCCAGCTACTGCTTATCATGCATTTAGAAAAATAGGTCCCAGATTAAAGAACACATTTCTAAAGTGTTGTGAAGAAGTGAACAGGGAAATACAACTAATCACAGAATTTATGGGATCAGCTAAGTGGAAAGTTATATCACCAAATGTATATATTAGAAGAGAACTAGATCACCTAAAGCTTCCAATTTAGGAAACTAGAAAGTAGAAAGGAAGAGTAATATAAACTCAAAGCAAGCAGAAGAAAAAATAGTACTAAAAATTAGAGGAGAAATCAATTAATTGAAAACAGAACAGAGAAAATCAACAAATCCAAAAACTGGTTCTGCATAAAAATTAATAAACTAGATAAACCTCTAGCCATCTCTCCCAAGAAAAACTGAGGGAAGACACAGATCCCTAATATCAGAAATGAAATGGGGGCCATTCCTTCTGAGCCCCAACATTAAAAGTATAATTAGGGAATATTATGAGTACCACACTATGCTACAAATTTCATGGTTTAGATGAAATGGACAATTCTCTAAAAGATCCGATCAGCGAAAACTCACAGAAGAAGTGACAGATAATCTGAGTAAGTCATTATTTTTAAAGAAATTGAGTCGATGACATTCCAAAAAGAAAGCACCAGGGCAGGACAGTTCCACTGGGAAATTCTACCAAACATGTAAGGATGAAACACCAATTCTCTGCAACCCCTGCCTGAAAACAGAAGCAGAGCAAGCACTGCCTCACTCACATTATGATGCCAGCATTGCCCTAGTATCAAAACCAGACAAAAAGAGAAAAATTACAGACCGATATCTCTCATGAAAGTAGATGTAAAAATCCTCAAGAAAAAGTTTCACAAATCAAATCCATGTATAAAAAGAAGCATATACCAGTGAAAATGGTGCACTCACTGTGTCACTGTGTGCCCTGCCCGGCCCTGCCCCTCACTGGACCAGTCAGACCAGAGGTGTCAGCACTGAATAAATAAGCTAAGCTGAAAAAAAAGTGCTTATTTAATTTATTCATTCCAGACATGCAAGGCTGATTCAACATTCAAAAATTAATTGATGTAATCCATCAGATCAACAGGCTAAAGAAGAAAAATCTTATGATCATGTCAACAGATGCAGAAATAGAAAAAAATGTTGACAAAATTTTACATCCCAGTGGTTACTAAAAACTCAGAAAATGAACAACCCAATTTCAAAATGGGATAAATATGGATAGACACCCCACCAAAGATGATAGTCAGATGGCAAATAAACATGTGAAAAGATGCTCATCGTTTCCATCAGGGAGATACAAATTAATAAAACATAGAGATGCACTTCTATTAGAATGACTAAAATGTAAAAATCTGACTATCAAATGCTGGTAAGGATGTGAAGCAACAGGAATCTCATTGCTGGTGGGAATGTAAAATGGCACAGACACTTTTATAAGGGTTTGGCAGTTCCTTATAAGGCCCGACATCGCCGTACCATCTGGTCGTGCAGCAGTGATCTAAATGACTCAAAAACTATGTCCACAGTAATATCTATATAGAAATATTTGTAGTAGATTTATTTAAAGCTCTCAGAAACTAGAAGCAATCAAATGTCCTTCAAAGGTGAATTGGCAAACAAACAGCTATGTCTGCAAACTGGGATATTATTCGGGAATGAAAAGAAAACAAGCCATCAAACCACAAAAAAAATTAGGGGGCGGAAAAAAAGTAGGTCCCATCTGGTGCTGACCACTGTCAATCAGGCTGGTATGCAATGGAGACAGAAAAAGGATCCCGTGGAATGTGGCAGAAAGACTGACATCTCCTTCTCCAACCTTCACTGCAGACACAATCCTATCAATAGTCTTTTCAAAAATGAGCTAGATTCTGAATATATTCCATAAGTGTGTACCTACCATTCCTGGTGGCATCTCCGGAGAGTACCCTCCTCCAAATACAAGCCATGTGAGAGAACAAGTCTTACTCTATTGTGTTCATATATACATTTTAAGGACTTAGGGGAACATGGTAAATATTCAATGATGGGAAATAAATGTCCAAAAACCAGGAAAGGAGAGAGGGAGGGAAGGAAGGAGGACAGAAAGAAGGCAAAGAGGGAAGTGGTATCTCAGCATTTTCCTCTGCAATATGTTCCTCTGAATCACCTGAATAAATGCTTTCTCATGTAGATCCGACCCTTCAAGTTGAAAATCAAATCACTGTTTTCATGAAAACTATGATAGCAAAGTTATGAGGATATCAGGTTTTGGGGTTAAAGTCCATCCCTATTCAATCTCTTTCTCTGAAAAATGAGGTAAATGAGAGAAAGCATCACAAAGAAATATGGTCAGGAATACATGAAGTTAAACACTGTTAACAGGAGCAGTCTTGATATGCACTTTAGTTATGCTGATTGTGTAATTTTCATTCCATCTTCCAGGAAAAAACCAACACACAACCAAATTAAGGTGAAGAATATGAACATGTGAAGATAACTTATGGGGAAACCGTGTCAGCACTTGATGCAAGTGCTTCATACCTAATGCTGGAAGTCTCAGGAATGGCTGTAAGAAAACTGACCGGAGCTAGAGCTTTAGGGGCTGCAAGGAGGGTGAAGAGTCAACAATTACGGAGTTGTTGAGAAGAACGTAATATAAGAAATGGAAGTAGTGAGTAGCATCATTTAGGAAGGTAAAGATTCAGGATATTGAAATTTGTGTTGTGCCTCTGGGGCCCAAAGTGTCTGCTCAGTTATGAGGCCAATGGCCCATCTTGACAAGAGGCTATTTAGCTGAGGAGCCTTCCCAGGGCCCCCTTCACATCCCTGTTCCGCATGCTGTAGATGAAGGGGTTCAGCATGGGGGTGACCACCGTGTACATCACTGAGGCAATCGAGCTCCTCTGGGAAGAATGGGTCACAGCAGCGCTGAGGTAGACCCCCAGGCTTGTCCCATAGAACAAGGAGACCACAGACAGGTGAGACCCACAGGTGGAAAATGCTTTATACCTGCCCTCAGTGGAGGCCATCCTCGCTATGGAGGATACGATCTGAGAGTAAGAGAACAGGACTCCGGTGAGAGGAAACACACCCAGCAGAGCCGTGGTGGCATACACGGCGATGTCATTGATGAGGGCGTCAGAGCAGGCAGCCTTGAGAACCTGCCCCAGCTCACAGAAAAAGTGCGGAATTTCAGTGCCTACACAGAAGGTCAGCCACACCATCAGTAGAATATGAAGCAGGGAGCCCCAGAAAACGGTGAACCAACACGCAAGTACCAGGAGCCCACAGAGCCGGGGGTTCATGATGGCCGTGTAGTGTAGGGGTTGGCAGATGGCCACATACCGGTCATAGGCCATCACGGTCAGGAGGAAGTCCTCTAGCCCGGCAAAAACCATTAAGAAATACACCTGAGTGAGGCATCCTACGTAGGAGATGTCTTTTCTCTGTGTCTGGATGTTCACCAGCATCTTGGGGACGGTGGTGGAGGTGAAGCAGATGTCCACACAGGACAGGTGGGACAAGAAGAAATACATGGGAGTGTGGAGGTGGGGGTCGGAGCCGACGGCCAGGATGATGAGCAGGTTCCCCAGGACGGTGACCAGGTACATGGACAAAAAGAGGCCAAAGAGGACAGGCTGCAGTTCAGGATACTCAGAGAGGCCCAGGAGGAGGAACTGGGATACTTCTGTGCTGTTTCCTGCTTCCATGCGGGTGGGGTGTCGGCTGGGAAAGGAGGGAAAGACAACATTCTGTGTACAGCCCCTGGGCACCTCGGAAACCATCAGCCTAGGACACCACCTGCACATGGACATCCTCTACCCTTTGTTGTTCCAAGTGCCAGTGATTCACTCAGTCAAATGATAGCCTGTTTTTATTTTTAGCGTAACTACTTAGCTTTTTAAAATATAGCCAAAATTGCATTTTATCTCACTGATAGTAATTCTATTTGAAGCTATAAGTGAAGCCAATTTTGTCTATGGTATGACCCTTCCAAAATAACTGGAGGCATTTAATGTCTGTCCATTGAAAATCTCCATACTTCCTTCATTTAAACAACTCTGTTATGCTTACTGAGGAGTGGATTCTCAAACAACCTTGATTCCATGACTGGATGCTTCCCAAAGATGTGACATGACAGCTAGCTCTCATGTGCCTTAATTTTTTATTTGTCTACTATCACGTACTTTGTGGGGATTCAAAAATAATAACAAATAATTACCATTATGCTATTGTTAATTTATTCCATTTATGAAAATTGTTATTGATGTACAGCTCTTCCCAAGTACAGTTCAGAGTTGTCATTTAGAAAATGGAATCTTGAGTCAGACTTCTTGGATAGAATTTAGGGCCAGCAATGTACCTTCTGTGTGACCTCGACCAAGATATTTATTCCCACTTAGGTGTAGAAATGTCACCTCTACAATGGGAGGAGTAAGTATTCCCTACATTGTAAGACTGAATTGAATGAGGTGATGCAGGAAATTTTACTATTATGGTTCCTGTGACATTCAGTGTATATTTCATAAGTGTGAGCTACATCACAATAAACCTGAATTATATGGCTATTACTTAAAAATATTTCCTTGAAGCTGGGACACCCATCAAAGGGGGGATTCTGATCATTATGAGCCCAACAGGTGTGTTACCTGTTTTTAATACCATGCAGCACGTCTAGTCAGTGAAGGTCCCTACAGCTCCCTCCCAGTACCTCCTGCCAGGTGGGTTCTTCCAAGGAGAAGGCAAGCCTATGGACTATGTAGATAAGAGGTGGAAATAAAAACACACAACCATTAAAGTAAAATACAGAGCATGTGTGGGAGTGTGTTTATGTGTTCCTACTCTCATGTGGGGATGTTACTATTAAAATTCAGGGGAGTTAATTAATTTTTAAAATGACTGATCAATTTGATTAAAATATTCAAAGCTTCTGTTGAATCAAATCCTCCTTGTGAAATAAAAGGCCAGTTTAAGAAGAAAATATTTACCCTGTGCATTATGGGAAAAGGCCAGTGTTATTAATGTCCACAGAATGCAGTTAATTAAAGAGGACAATATCACTGAGGACTAATTCAGTCAGAAGAGGTGGGTAGAAAAGAAGTCTTTAGACTACTTCAGTAAGAGAAGAATACCTGTGCTGTGATGCTTAGGATGGGAAATTGTTCTTCAGGGGAAATAAAGGGCAAGCATTCGGGGCACAGAACTTGCAGCTGCCCTGTGGGTTGGTGAGCTCGGTGATGGAAGGGAACCAAGGGGCTGGCACGACGTGAGCAGAGTGTGGGGCCGGCAGGGACCCTGCAGCAGCCTACCTGGCCAGGCCTCCCGGCTGTCCCTTGATGTGCGTCTCCTGTGGGCGATTCAGTTCTTACTTGTGGGTCAGAGGTTGAGTCTGTTTTTGCTCACCATTCTTTTTGCAGGTACTTATGTCCTGCCTGGCATCTAGTGTGTGCTCAGCGTGTGCACGTTAGATGTACAATAAAGACTGACACCCAAAGCGTCAATGAACTTTAACACAGAAAAGCAATCTTCAAGCTCATCATCTATCTGAATGTAGACACTAAGTAGAATAGTCAAGTTAAATAAGATGCATCTATATCTACTTGAAAAGAATCATAATGAACAGAATGACAAGTATTCTAGGCATGGGCAGCATGTTCAATTCTAGAACGTTTGCTCACTTAATTCATTACGAAATAAGTCACTGAAAGAAATTATAACCATAATCAAAATAGAAAATGCTTCTGAGAAAATGTAACAGCCGTTACTTGCTTAGTGGCCAGGACAGAGCCTCTCACTGAATGAGGAAATAAGGACAATCTCCAAACCCAGCAAAGAATGGTTGTCTTAAAACAGTAAACAACAGGATATTCTACGTTAACAGACTAAATATTTGTGTCAAGCTCATGAACAGCCCAAGGCTGTCTACCCAACTTCAATCCTGCTATATGACGTTGAGTATTTAAAGAGATTTTTAAAATGAGGAAAGGAAATTAGCTTGAGTAGCAAACATCAGACATATACACTATTTGTAGAGAATATTGTGGACATTAATGTGAAACAGCAACTATACAGAACTATTAGGTGTCAATCAGTAAGTCGAATCTGCATCAAGAACAGCAAAAACAATATAATTTAATAGAAATATCACATCGCATTAGGAATAAAAGAGACAATACCTGGTGCATCATAGATCTCCAGTGAGTAGTAAGTGAGTAAAATATTGGCCACATGAAATCTAAGACCAGCCTAAAAAGGTGGAAAAGTGTGGGGAGCGGTAAAAAGTCTCCAGAAAAATAGCTCTTGTAAGAGGATCTAGATTCAATGAAGAGAAAGCAGGAAAAGAACAAGGGCTGGAGAAGAGTTTTTTTTAAAACAAAAGTACCTTCAGAGAACAGGGACTTTAACTTTGTGGACTAAATGAACATGGGGCTGTCCCAGTCGCAGTTTTAAAGAAGGAAAGCCCCGAACCCACGTTCTGTCCCCTTCTCCCACTCACTCCACCTACCCTCATGCGGCCCCCGCTGAAGGTCAGCCCCGGAGCTTTCTGCGCCTGCAGGCTGTCCTGGGGAAGCCCTTGTGCCTTGGCACCTCGGTTGGCATCAGAGAATTATATGTCAGGGACAGCAGGGACAAATCATTAGTGTCTCCGCGGTTGAATTCTCAGAGCCCGTCATTAAACAAATCGTCGCACTGCCTTCGCGCTCTGCAGACAATGCAGCTCCACTGAGGTTCAAGCTTGTTTGAATGGGGAAGTTTCAGGCGATGTAGTGTCTGTGTAGGCACACACACACGCGCACACACACACACACACACACACACACACACATACACACACCCACACGCATACACACACACACACGCACGCGCAAGTACGCATACACACGCGCGCACACACACGCACACACACACGCACACAGTACCATGTTTTCCCTACTTCTCACAGTGTAGGGAGGCTTTCTCGGGAATGACTGGGCGGGACTGGTAGTACAACCTCCTGGGGCCGGGGTGCACCAGGTCTCACACGCCTTTCATATTTTCCTCTCCCATTTCTCCCCATCTGCCACCCCTCGAATAATGACCTCAGGTGTGGGGGTCGGGAGCGCCTTTTAGCGGTCACGGAGACTGGCCCAGAGTCCAGCGTGGGCTCCCCGTCTGCGGAAATAGAGCCCGTGGGTTGCGTCCACAGCGCCCCCCCGAGGTCAGTCTGGCTGGGGAACTCCTCCCTGCAGGCCTGCAGGCGCCCTCCTGCCTAGGGGTCCTGACGCTGTGGCCCGAGTTGGGGAATGATAATAATTATCACCCCTGAATTTTAATACCAACATCCCCATGAGAGCAAGTACACAGAAACACATCCCCACACACGCTTTGTATTTTATTTAAATGGTTGTGTCTTTTTCCTTCCTATTGTCTGTGCAGTCCCCATGCTCTGCCCTCTTCTTAGAAGTATCCACCTGGTAGGTGGTCCTGGAAGGGAGCTGTAGAGACCTTCACTGACCTGAAGTGCTGCATGACAGTCAGAAGAGGTAACAGACTGCTGTGTTTGTAATGATCAGAATCCCCCCACTGATGGCTGCCCCAGCTTCAAGGAAATATTGATAAATAATAGCCATATAATTCAGGTTTATTGTGATGTTAAGAACAGAAGCCCATGTTTACCAGGTGTCCACTGTATGTCACAGGAAGTACAGTAGAAAAGGTACGTGTATCACGTCATTCAAATGCGGTCTTTCAAGGTAGGGAGTATTTACTTTTCCCATTGTAGATGTGACGTTTCTGCAGCTAAGAGGGATTCAATAACTTGGTCAAGATCACACAGAGGGTAAGTTGGCAGAACAAAATTCTAACCAGGAAATTTGACTCAAGGTCCCATTTTCTAATTTGGGGGAGCTCTATATCAGGAACAGTTTTCATAAATGGAAGAATTTAGCTATATTAATTATAAGAATGGCTATCTTTTAGTGATATCCTAATGCCTACAAAGGCATTTGAATGCTGATAAAGTAGTAGGTGAGAGTAGTCACCACCTGTTGAGAAAAAAAGGGCACGCGCGAGAGAGCTCTCATGTCCCAACAGTAGCAAACATCATGATTCAAGGTGGTTTGAGAATCCACTTCTTAATCAACTCTCATAGAGCTGTTTAAATGAAGGAAGCATGGAGATTATCAAAGAACAGACATTGGATGCCTTCAATCATTTTAGAAGCATCGTATCATAGAAGTCAGGTTATGTCCATAGCTTCAAACACAATTACAACCAGTGTTGACGTTCCCTGCAATCTTGTTGAATTTACTTAGCAGTAGTAGGTTTTTTTGTGTGTGCGTGGATTAACCAGGCATCTTTCTTTTTACTGCTGCACAACATTACCTTGTACGAGTGTTCCCCCATTTATGTAGATGACGCAGGTATGTTGTTCCCTATTTTTTTTATATAACAAATTATGCCGCAATGAATAACTTTGTCAATAGAACATTTAGCTTGAGTATGTGTACCTGACTGCTGAATCTTATCACTGGAAGTGGTGAGTCAACACTTCAAACAGAAATGGCATATAGAAGGACATCAGGTGTAAAACAAAAAGGCATATTAATATAACTGCAAGTAGTTAAGTATTATTTCAGTAACATTAAAATTTTGATTAATATCTCATAAACCAAAGCCTTATTTTACTGCTGTTCTCCCATTTTATGTATGTCCTTAAAAACAGGCCCTCACT